AAATTAAATTAAATTTATCGCAAATTTTGTTTATAAGTTAAATGACAACAACGAAAAAAGTAGAAAACAAAACAACATATGTTTTATGTATGAAATACACACTAATATTAATAGTAGAATAATAACTACAGAATATTCTATATTAAATAATATTATTGATTTTATTATGTGATGGAGTGGTAGATCAGCCATTCCAGCGATGATTATATGCCTGTGAACAAGACATCCCTTCCCATTATATTAAAGGCCACCCAATTGTGTGGTTTTGTCTCTCAATTATTTTCTATAGTACTGTATATACGTCTAGTACTAGTAAATATGAAAACAAATATAAAGACTAAACTGAATGTAAAGAATATCTGAGATATTGTTTTCAACAAAAGGGAAATATATTTTTACAAAAAACAATAAGCATTATAAATAAATATAAAGAATATTCTGCAAAATATATACTGTATTTAGTAAACACATTATTATTGATACGTTTGACAAGAATATGAGTTTGATATTCAAAGTATAAGTGTTTTGTAGGTTTTTGCAAAATATAACAGATTTTCGTATTCAATGACTAGATTTTCTTACAAAATATTGTGAATAAAATGGTAAATCTCATAGAAATTCATAGAAAATAAGTATAAAATTTGCAAAATCATATACACGGTAATTGTTAAAATTAGACTCAATTTCCCACTCTCTATATTACTATACTGACAATACATAACAATATAACTACTAAACGGACTTAAAATAAGTTATTTTTTTCACTCATAAGCTTTTTCTCTATTCAATTCTCACTTATATTTTCAAGTATTTGATCGAAAAAGCGCGAGAATTAGATCAGGAATTGAAAGGATGTCTGAGAGAGAGAGAGAGAGAGAGAGAGAGAGAGAGAGCAGTATATATAAGCTCCAACTCGTTTAGAATAACAACTCGAGGGCTCTATTGTGTGGTTAAGCCGTGGATCAAGTGGTTCATCAAAAAAGTAAGAGAGAGAGAGAGAGAGACCACAAAATGCACACAAATCCCATTTCCACGTATACTGTAGGGACGACTCACACTATGCATTACAATGATTTTCATTTAAAAATCCAATGGTTTGCTAGTAATGTATGGTGTATTCACCGGATTGAATAAATGCGTGCATAATAATTACACAAACCCTCCGATGCTGTTTGGGGTATATGTTGAATGGGTTAGACCTAACTCTCGGTAAACTACTGTGGGTTTTGATAATATAGATAAACACTGTATTATGAGAGAGACTGTGAATATTATATCACAATTGGATTTTCAATTTGTTTTAACACACATTTGGTTATGTATTATAACGGCTATCGTGTAAAATTTATTATTCGCATACTGTTCCTTAAGGGTATAGCTCTCTCTCTCTCTCTCTCTCTCTCTCTCTCTCATCAATTCTGTAACTTGAAATTAAATTAAATTTATATTATAATTGAAAATTTATTTGCATTCAACTAATATTTTAGTGCATTATATTTTAATATATTAATATAAACGATAACATGTTATTTAGACTCCAGGAATACCAGTGCTTAATACTATGCTTATACCCCACACATAAGAATAATACGGAAAATTTTATTTAAAAATATTTGGTAAAGAATTTGTCTCCACATAATACACTGTAGTGCATGTGTGGGGTCGACCTAACCTCCCAAATACCAGTGGCTTTCGTGAGACGAGAGACACATTTCGGTGTGTATTAAGCCATTTGGTGTGCAAAACAAAAAAGTCGTCGCATTTATGTCAATCGCTTTTTTACATGTCGTTAAGACTCGAGTGAATATGTTTTCTATCAGTTTTTTTTCTAAACAAGTTTGTTTTTATGTAATAAGGTTTTTCAAAATAGTTTTTCATTACAAATCACGCGCTAATCCATTGGAAATGTGCTTATGATTAGTGGTGGAGAGAGAGATAGAAAGAAAGAGAGAGAGAGAGAGAGAGAGAGAGAGAGACTTATTTTACAAATTATTTTATGCGAAAATTCATTTATAATTATTTTTGGAAATATATTTGTTTTAGTAATTTTTATCATGGTTAGCTTAGCTATAGACAAGGATTATTGCAAAGATATTGAAAATAGCATAAAATATTATATATTATAAATTAATTGTATTTATAAATTTATAAATAGTAGTACTGTATTTTAAAATTTAGCTACCCTTCCATTCAAGCAATCTTATTTTCATATTATCAAGTTATAGTAAAAATGTATCAAAAAATTTAATTGATTTTTTGTATAAATTTCAAGTACTTTCACAAACAGAAAAGATTTTCCCGAATTTTGGGGAAAGACTACACAAACATTGGGTGCGAATCGAGTGGAGTAGCGGTTTGTGTGCGTCGGGTGTGAAAAGTGGTATCAAATCGTATGGAAAATTCATTTAATACTATTATAAAGTGAGAAAAATCGTGAGTGAGTGAGAAGAGAGAGAGAGAGAGAGAGAGAGAGAGAGACGTGAAGTGGTCGTCAAGAGGTGGGCGCACTTCACGCATATATGCCACACATATTGGTATCCATGATATTGAAAGTGGAAAGGTAGGGGTCATATGGCTTTTTATTAACATTATGACTGCCTGTGTGTGTCCTATCAATACACGACACCACCACTTATGGCCACTAAATTGGTTCCATTTCTATAGCACTAGTAGTCATCAAAAAATGTGTGTGTTTTTGTATGTGCTATCGATATCCACCCTCTTATTGTTGACAATATAATGGACAGGATTGGTAGGACTGGTAGGACTCACCACTTCAGCCGGACGGAAATGCTTTTGATTGACTCTCACGCGAACAACACCCGACTCCAACTCCTTTCCCACTTCGTTAACACCGCTTCCTTCCCATCTGTCGGACAATACGAGTAATAATCAGTAAAATCTCTAATATATAGTGAGAATTGATTTTAAGAAAAGTTTTTTTAAAATTAGTATTAATTGGTCAGACATTATGAATACTATTAACTAGACTTTTAAAGCCCTATTATTATTTTCAGAGTATGTGTGGTTTGGGGGAGTCTAGTATGCAACTATTAAACGGGTATTCATTAAACGGTATATTATATAAAATTCATTATTAGAAACTCGATGTTAGCCTAGCTAATTGTTCATATGGGGAGGGGAGGGTAATACACGTACACAATGGTGCGTCCAATGCGTTTGAAGGCTAACTCGACAAACTCGCGGACTGAATGCGCTTCGCCCGTCGATATGACATAATCCTGGGGCACATCCTGTTGCAGCATCAGCCACATGGCCTCCACGTAGTCCCTGGCGTGACCCCAGTCGCGTCGGGCGTCCAGGTTACCAAGCTCAAAGTGGTCCATCTCGTTCAGCGAGATCTTGGCCACCGATCGGGTGATCTTACGCGTGACAAACGTCTCGCCCCTACGGGGGCTCTCGTGGTTGAATAGTATGCCGTTCACCGCGAATATGTTGTACGCCTCGCGATAGTTGACGACAATCCAATAGCCGTACAGTTTGGCTACACCTATAAAACATAGGGATAAGGGTGTGGGGAACAGTAGTTTAGTGTCGGGTAATTATAATACATTTAAAACTATCAGTTCGTTTGGAAACATACTGTGACTTAATTGATAAGTATTTTAACAGAAAAATTAATTCTTTACAAAACATTTACAACCGCCTAATAGCTAGCGTGAGAGGGCGACAGGTGGGTCGGGCGCACACATACCGTACGGCGAACGCGGATAGAATGGTGTGGTCTCTGTCTGCGGTATTTGCTGCACTTTGCCGTACAGTTCCGAAGTGGACGCCTGATAGAAGCGGACAGTGGGCTCGAGTCCGGCCGTGCGTATGGCGTCCAGTATGCGCAGGGTGCCCAGGGCGTCCACGTTGGCCGTGTACTCGCTCAGGTCGAACGACACCTTGACGTGGGACTGGGCGGCCAGGTTGTAGATCTCTGTGGGCCGGATGTCGTGTATGATCTTCACTAAACACGAGCTGTCCGTCATATCGCCGTAATGTAAGCGCATGGCTATTATGTGGGGTGTGATTGGGGGGTTAGTTGGCAATTATGGCCACGTATTTGCATATCTGAGCCAATGTATCGGATAATGGATTTGAGTTTTTTTTGTAATGATTGTAAAGTTAGCAAATTAATAGATAGTCTGATAATTTGCAGTCATGGTGCTAATTAACTTTATTACACAAGTACTAAATTAGCGACAATAATAAAATGGCAAATACCTCTTAAATATCAATGAATAAATTAATTTCAATAATTTACGGTATGGTATGTTAATTGAAAAATATTGTAAAATATAATTTTACTAAATGTTCATATGTTTCCATTATCAATATATATTTTCTCAGATACTGTATGTTTTAATGATAGCGTGTTGGCCGCCACTCACAGCCCCCTTGATGGGTGTAGGGGTCGTCGTACAGGTGCTGTATGCGTCCCGTATTGAAACTACTGGACCGCCGTATGATTCCGTGCACATCATAGCCCTTTTCCAATAGGAATTCCGCTAAATACGAGCCGTCCTTATATAAAAAATTATGTTTTAATTATTATTTAAATTTTAAAATTATTTTATGAAATAGATTTGAATTGATTGAAATCAATAATAATGTGTTTATAAATGCTATTATTTTGAGAAATTCATGAATTCAAATATGCTTTTATGTATTAAGTTAAAGTCAAGAATATTCATAAAAATTATTTGACTTTCTTATCAATTTCAGTTCAAATTTACGATTAAGTTATTCATAAGATAATTGTGTTTATGTTTTTAGTTTGAGATAAGATATTAAATTACATAATATTTATGATATTAATTGTAAGTTACGAGTTAACTAAATATTGCACACAACAAATGATAAATTGGATTATAAATAAGACAGGTAATTTTTTCAAAGATCTGTCTACAATTAAAACCCGGATTATTTATGTTAGTTTATTTATATAATATATTCTGAAAATATTCCTAATAATACAATAGTATAAATAAACATTTTATTTTTTATCATTTAATATATTGTTTACAAATAGTATTTACAAATAATTTAAAGCAATAATTCATTGCTTAAAATGCATTTCACAAATAGGATATGACTTTATATGGAAATCTATATCTAATAATGATTTGTATATTTTGTTTATGAATAACCAAAAAAGAGTAATTTAAGATAATATAGATTGCATTTTCAGTCAGTAATTGTATACAAAATATTGTTTTTAAATAATAATTTCATAAATATTTGAAAAATATAAATTATAAATGAGTGCTGATTAGTTTTAAAACATTTTTTTTTAAATTTTCCACAGTCTAGCCATATCGATAGATAGTTATATGAAATTAAAGTAAAAGTCAATTTTTAATGTTGCATAAAACATTATAAACCATTTATGCTATTTATAGTTAAATCACGGTTTATTCAAGTGTTGTAAAGAGTTTTAAAAATATTTTACTAAAAATATAAAAAACATAAAAACTTTACTGTAAATTTAATATAAGAAAAGTATAACTTTTATTTAAAATATGATACAAACATTTTAATTTTTCAGTATTAATGTTTTAATACATGAGAATTATATGGAATATTAATTTCATTTTGAATATTCAGCAAATATTTTGTTAACTCATTGGTTGCTTATGCATTATGTACAGTATTGTATTGTATTTCAATTATTGTAATTTTAGACACATATTGTATTCAGACACAAAAAAATTCACTATTATTTGCATTTAATTTATTATTGATATGAGTATAACATTAGATATGAAAGAATAATCATAGATATGAGAGAATAGCATATATGCTATATATGCCATATATTATTGATATATTAGATTCAATTATTTAATTATTTTCCATAATTTTAGAGAGAGAGAGAGAGAGCTGTTTAGGGAGTGTTAGGCAATGAAAGGCCAGTTACCCCTCATTCAAACCATAAATTACCAAGTTAATAAAAACATTCTAGCTAACTTGTAAGTATTAAAACCAAAATAATTTAGCATGAATAAAATTAATGTTATAGAAATAAAATCATAAAAACATTTATAGCAATAGAATATTCACATACCTGTCCAGTAATACCGGTAATTAATGCTACTTTCCTACCGGTGCGATCGGTCAGCCCATTCCGAGCCATTACCTGTCCGTTCATTTCCATTATAATTACTTTTATAATTAGTAATACTTGTAGTCAGATGACTGTAATACAAATAAAATAGCATAAAATGTTTGATCAGTTATTGTGAGTGAAATAATAGTAACGAGAGTTTAATCACAGAATATATAGACATTCGTGTCATTTAATTGTCCATAGATTTCATAAAAATATTATTAGATTTTTTTCAAAACATATTATCAATGCTAATGAAAACAGATGTGAGATATTCTACACTAGAGATGCGCTAATGCGGGTCTATATGGGTATGAGTTAGGAATTTATATCAGCCTGATAGTTGTTCATAATAATTTAAGCTTGTTAAATTGTGGGGAAAACTTAATAAATACAAAATTACTTTCAGTTGAGGTTTTGCGTAAATCTACCTTGATATAATAGTTTTTTATAGCAAACATTAATTAGGGTTGTAAGAAAGTGTTATTCCCGACTCTATTGACTCACATCTAGTTTAATATTCTGTAAAACTTTACAATAGATGTCATGCTTTTTAAATATCATAGTGCCACGAACTGAAGTTTTTAAGCGATTTATAATTAAATATACAATTAAACTAGCTATTATAAACTATTACGAATTAGTAATCTTAATTAGTTTAGGAAAAATTGATCCAGTTTAGTTAGCAAACTGAAAATTTAGCGCAAAACCCACGCAACCAACACACGTTGTATACGAATAGCGCATAACAAACAGCAATGGATTTGTTTATCATATGTTTCACACAATTAACACATGAATCCATTCAACAGTAATTGCATTTAAACTACAATTAACTCAACGTTACGTGAATTACATATCCATAGACACCATGTCATACAATTAACACGACACGTGTGATCACCATTAAATAGCCTAGCTTATTTAAATCAATATATTTGAGTTTTTTTATATTTAATTTATTAATATATATTTAATTGTTTTTTACGTTTACTTAACACTGGGTTTTGAAATTAAATGTAATGTAAAACAAATGATAAGTTTTTCTGAATGAAGTTTTTAACGCAAAAAAGTTTTTATACTTTCATTTCCGGCAGACATTTGGTCGCAATCTATGTCCACATTATGTCCAATCGGGTGCTGAAGAAACTGTACGGAGATAGCGATGGGTTGATCGGGACGGCAGAGTCGGCCGCCGCCACAGCACCGGTAGCCCCGCCGCCATGGCGCGACTCCCGTTGGGCTCAAAGAACTTCTCGAAGCCCTTAGGAGGCGCCCCCTTAGCGCACAAATACACCCGAAACTCGTTCAACAAGTCGTTAAATTTGGGCAAAAAGTGTGTCGACTCTAAGAGCCGTAGGTTTCGCTTCACCTGAAAATGCAAACAAACAAATGGTATGAATTGGTGGCCAATCACTGCGAGGGATGGAGGGGGCGGGTAACCCCTGCCCGCACCCGAGAGAGGGGGTATACGTACGTAGTGTTGAGTGGCTGAGGGGTTAAGTAAGGCTTTCCGCACGAATTTGTCGCTCAAATGGTAGGCATTGATGCACCGGAAAGCCATCGGGAGAAACACCACGTGTTGTTGTGTATGTGCACTGATTTGGACGCTATATATACCTTATATGATATGATATATGAGGCAATGATTGACACGACTATATGCTAAACATGTTTAAAAAGACAATTAAAACGATGAATAACTAAAATACAAAACCATTTGTTTGTGTTTGTGATCGCAATTCAATGCATAGGTTTCGTCACATTCAATGTCAACAACATTGCGTTTAGTGCACATTCATCGCGAAAGCGCGCATTGCATCATAACAAGCAATGGTTTACTAACTGTGATCACTGCATAACTGTGGTCATAGTTATGGCGCAATGCGTGCGTTTACGTTGAAGCTATCACATAGAATAGGCAGTTATTGCTAGCCTTTCAAAAAATCACGTTAAAGTCACATTTGTGCCGCAAGTGACTAATGCACTGGGCTGAGGTGTTTACAGTTTTCAGCATGGTTAATAACGGGGGGTGATATAGGGGGGGTTAACATAAGTTGGAGAAAATCGATCGATCTGATATTTAAATAGATAAAATAAATTCTGATTGATGTCATGACATATTTATGACATCTAATAGTTAATTTATATTCGGACCTTTTTAACGGATAATTCGATATCATTAGCTGCTATACAATATTTTAATAAAAGCAGAAACTTACATTTTCTAACAAATTATTAAAAACTACAGCCCATACACACCCCCAACCACTTTATCGCAATTAAATTGACAACAGATTAGACAAACACTTGATTTTTATTCAATTGAAAGTTTTCAACACAAAAATCAAATGGTGTTCACAATTGAGAGTCAAAGAAAGACACATGAATTTCCATACATTATATTATAGCTTATAATTTAAAGTATAAGTTCATTATAATTGCATTTCGGATACAAATTATATTCACATTTAATTCAATAATTATATTTCGTATGAGAGTCACAGGAATATAGAGATCACAATCAATATTATTGAGTCAATTGTTTAATTCATTCATAACAACAAATTACACCAAAAAATATGTTCAAATCAATGGCTTGTAGTCTTGATATACGGGTATATATTATTGCTTTTACGGGGCGTTCGGTGGGCGCTGTTGGTGGTGGTGCTGGTGATGGTCGTCCTCGTTGTCCTCACTGGACACGTCGCCCTCATTGGGGACGTCAGCCATATGTATATTACTCAACAGATCCCTCATGGCGTCCAACAGCGACGTAACACTTCGTCTCAAGTCATTCGTATCGCCCGGTGCTCTCCTATTGCCGCCGCCCACAGCACCGGCAGCCGCGTCGTTGTCCAACTGGCGCTCCACTCGACCCATGGCTCGATTCCTAGCGCCGGCACCACCGCCGCCGCCGATACCCAACTCTTCGGCGTTGAAGTCCGGCAGCCATGACCTCAAGAACACACTCAACAACCCCTGATCGGAGGCCGCGGCGCCTGGCGTCTGGGTGTCGGTAGTCTTGGGACGGGTGTACGATATGATGGAGTCGACGGGCGGCAAGGGATCGAACCCTAGTATTGTGTCCTTCGCTAAGTCCTAACGAAACAAAACGGTATAAATAGGCCACAAAACCAATTATCCATTCAATTGATCCATACGTTTGGGAGGGCGAGCGTCGCCTCCTTAATGCCCGACAGCACCACATGCCTCAAGACATTCCTCGGGGTTCCGCCGCTAAGATATTTCTTACGCCTAATCAACGACAACAACAACCAATTAAATCACAAATAATAGGCGCATAAACTCCATAACACTATCGGATACCTATCGTTGCAGACGGCGACAAACGGATCATTCGCCGCCACTCTATGCATCACTTGTCGTACATTCCTCTCGAGCCACGACATGACACTCTTATCTTTCCACAACAGATATGTGCGACCGATGTATAGGACAGTCAACTGTGCGATGGCTTGCGTCGACTGGTATTGAGCGGTGCGGAAGTAATCACATTTAGACACCTGGGGGTCCGGTTCTACGCTACACTTGTCGAGTAAGGCCAACAGAACCCCCGGGAACATAATCAACGCCTCCTGCAGCCACTGGTCCGCCTTATCGACCCATTCGGGCGCCTTAAGGGACATGTAGTACAGGGCTAACGCCGTCGAGTAGCGAAAGTTAGGAAACAGCGACAACTTTTTCGTGGCCTCCCATTCCTCGTACAGGTGCACGAGATAGTCGTATTGCTCGCACCGCAGCGCATAGAAGTCTATCATCAGGAGCACGGATAGGGGATCGCCTTCCGGGTCCAGACTATTAACAAAACAAAACAAAAAACACAATTCAAACGAAAAATAATTAAAAACTTTGTTTTTTTGACAAACACTGTACCCGAGTATTAATTTGCAGAACTCGAGGGCCGTGCGATTGCAGCCCCGTTGGCCCACAAACGACAGGTGCTTAAACAGCGCGATATAAAAAGCTCGGTTCTCGGGGCGCCGGTAGTCCAGCCGACAGTTGGCTTGAGTCACGTTAAACAGCGGATGAAATATATGTTCGATGCAATACAGGGCTCGCTCTGTCGGGAGGGGGAGGGAGTGGACAGGCGTTTAATACAACAATGCATTGCCCTGAGAATGCATACAATAATCATCGAAAAGGACGGTTATATTACCGATGAGTTCGGCGGCCATTTGATTGTCTTCAGCCATTTTGCAGACATCGCTAAATTGGATGAGTGTATCGATATGGTAGGGGTGGGCGTTCAGAATGGCCACCAAATTGTCCGGGTTATAGCTCTCGACGGCGTCCATAAACATGAACTGAACGGATTGGTAGCTCTTGTTGTGAACGATGTTGAAGCGCATGGCGTCGCCAGCCGTGGCGCCCCTGTCGGCGCACTCCATACTAATACCGCATTTGCCGACACTCTGCCAGTTCTTCGGGTTCACGAGAATCCACGCCCGGCTTATGCTGTGCCGGTGCCTACCGGCGCGCCTACGGTTAGCCGCGGCGCCGGCGGCCGACAGCTCGGCCTGTTGTATGACTTTCGAGCCGAATATCCTCTTCATCTCGTTCTCGGGATTCAAATGTCTCGCCTCCACACAGATCACCGACTTCTTGGGCGCCGGTTGTTTGTCCCGACTCTCGCCTGAGGCGCCGGCAGCTCTCGCCTCGAGCTGCTGACAGTTGCCCAACAGTTTGTTCACCTCTTGTATGGCGCCGTCCACGTCGTCCTCGTCGTCGCCGCCATTCTGGGCGTCCAGTTGTCCTTCGAGTGACTTCTGCGACCGGATCTTCTTCTTCTTCTTGCGGCGCTTCTTCAGGCTGTCGGTGCTCTGCGTCGAGTCCTGCTTCTCGAGCCGACACTTCTCGGTCACAGTGGCCGCTGCCGTCGCCGGAGGCAACCAATTGCGCACCGAATCGTTGTCTTTGTCGTCGTCCTCCTTGGCCTCCGTATCCGACATCGAGTTTTGGTCCAAATTATTCAACTGTTCAACGCGTGTGAATCGCACCGTTAGTTCGCGGATCAGTTGTTAGCAAAACATTTAATACAATAATATAAGCTCTAAACAACCCCTAAATTGAGCCCAACTTTTAGCTAATAAATCCCACATAAATAGTCTGAGTTAAAGTGGCAATGAGTGGGGAAAGGGAGGGTTGGGTAAGGGGTACAGATATGTCAAGCACTGAAGTACCGTAAATAAAATCTAGTTTTCAAACAATTTATAAATAAAATCTTAAATAAATCTACAAAAAGCACTCAAAACTGACCCAAACTTTAACGCTAAACACTACACAAATAATCCTAAATAGGAACCCCTCGTAGAGGGACAGGTATGTCGGAAAACAAGCATATAATCACTGACTAATTCAAAGCGATTGATGGCCAACTTCTTGGTCTTGCGGGCCATCGACGGCCTACTATTGCTGTCATTATTGAGCGAATCGCTGTCCGACGCGGGGCTCAGATGGCTGTCCACCGGCGGCGGGGCTACCGGTGCTGTGGCGGCGGCCGACTCTGCCGTCCCGATCAACCCATCGCTATCTCCGTACAGTTTCTTCAGCACCCGATTGGACATAATGTGGACATAGATTGCGACCAAATGTCTGCCGGAAATGAAAGTATAAAAACTTTTTTGCGTTAAAAACTTCATTCAGAAAAACTTATCATTTGTTTTACATTACATTTAATTTCAAAACCCAGTGTTAAGTAAACGTAAAAAACAATTAAATATATATTTGTACACAAAATTAATTAATAAATTAAATTAAATATAAAAAAAACTCAAATATATTGATTTAAATAAGCTAGGCTATTTAATGGTGATCACACGTGTCGTGTTAATTGTATGACATGGTGTCTATGGATATGTAATTCACGTAACGTTGAGTTAATTGTAGTTTAAATGCAATTACTGTTGAATGGATTCATGTGTTAATTGTGTGAAACATATGATAAACAAATCCATTGCTGTTTGTTATGCGCTATTCGTATACAACGTGTGTTGGTTGCGTGGGTTTTGCGCTAAATTTTCAGTTTGCTAACTAAACTGGATCAATTTTTCCTAAACTAATTAAGATTACTAATTCGTAATAGTTTATAATAGCTAGTTTAATTGTATATTTAATTATAAATCGCTTAAAAACTTCAGTTCGTGGCACTATGATATTTAAAAAGCATGACATCTATTGTAAAGTTTTACAGAATATTAAACTAGATGTGAGTCAATAGAGTCGGGAATAACACTTTCTTACAACCCTAATTAATGTTTGCTATAAAAAACTATTATATCAAGGTAGATTTACGCAAAACCTCAACTGAAAGTAATTTTGTATTTATTAAGTTTTCCCCACAATTTAACAAGCTTAAATTATTATGAACAACTATCAGGCTGATATAAATTCCTAACTCATACCCATATAGACCCGCATTAGCGCATCTCTAGTGTAGAATATCTCACATCTGTTTTCATTAGCATTGATAATATGTTTTGAAAAAAATCTAATAATATTTTTATGAAATCTATGGACAATTAAATGACACGAATGTCTATATATTCTGTGATTAAACTCTCGTTACTATTATTTCACTCACAATAACTGATCAAACATTTTATGCTATTTTATTTGTATTACAGTCATCTGACTACAAGTATTACTAATTATAAAAGTAATTATAATGGAAATGAACGGACAGGTAATGGCTCGGAATGGGCTGACCGATCGCACCGGTAGGAAAGTAGCATTAATTACCGGTATNGCGGATGCATCGCTGAGCCGTTTGGCAGAACTGAATCCATACGTTCCAGTGGTGGCCTATACCGGCAAACTTACCAATGATTTCATCTCCAGATTCCGTGTAATCGTCTTAACGGAGTCCTCACTCGCAGAGCAGAAAGAGATCTCTGATTACACGCACTCTAATGGCATCGCTCTCATCATTGCCTCCACTAAAGGACTTTTCGGGTATTTATTTGATTTTGACGTTAATTATTGAAGCCTTTAATTAAATGTTATTTTGTTTGATATGAAGACAACTGTTCTGTGATTTTGGAGACAATTTCCAAGTGATTGACGCGACAGGAGAACAGCCGCTCTCTGTTATGATCACATCTGTCACTAAAGACGCCGAAGGAGTGGTCACTACTCACGACGAGTCGCGCCATGGATTGGAGAACGGAGACAAAGTGACGTTCAATGAAGTGGAGGGCATGACTGAACTCAACAAATGCGAGCCCAGGACTGTGACAGTGTTGGGTCCCTACACCTTCTCCATCGGCGACACCACCGGCTTAAAGGACTACGTGAGAGGCGGTTACGCCATTCAAGTGAAGGTCCCCAAGACTGTCAACTTTGTAAGTGTTTTCGTGTGTTTTGATATGACTTTTAGTGAATTAATAACTTATGAAATGAATAGAAATCACTGAAGGAGTCGTTAGCGTCGCCGGAGTTTGTGTTATCAGACTTCGCCAAAATGGAAAGACCGGCTCAACTGCACATCGCTTTCCAGGCGCTGCACCTGTTTGTGGAGCGCCACCGACGACACCCCAACTCGTGGAGCGAATCGGACGCCACAGAGTTCCGCAAAATTGTGGGCGAAATCGCGTCCGAAAACAAACTCGAGATTCAAATCGACGAAAACCTGGTGAAGATGTTCTCGTTCTTGAGTCGCGGAAATGTGTGTCCATTGAATGCCGTGATTGGAGGGACGGCCGCACAGG